ACTGTGAGCCCAGAACAGTGTAGAAAAGATGATGTGTGTGCTTGGTTGCTTATTTATCTACCAAAATGTCTTAATTACTTATGAAAGTCTTGGGGCAGTCTACTGACCAAATTCCAAGTGAAAACAAATGTTTTGAAAAAGCAATGTTCACTAATACTCTCTCCCTTTTATTACAGTTCATAGTAGTTTCACTATCTACAATGTCATGAAATTATACTTTATTAGCTCTCTAAGAAATTGTACTCTATCATCTGACAGTCAATAAATCCATGTTTTTCTGCTGCTTCCTCCCAAAAACCTAAAGGCTACTAGAAAATCAGCAGCAGTGATTATACTAAGGCGATGTTAAGCTTCAGAGGCATCAGGGGCAGACGCACAGAGTTCATTCCGACCTGGATCTGGCCATCAGTGCATTTTTGTAACTTTACCCAACCCACACCCGATGCTATAAATCATCATCAAAACTTGACCGATTGCCCTGGCCAGTTGCTCAGTGGATGGAGCGTCGGCTTGTGGACTGAAGGGTCCCTGGTTCGATTCCAGTCAAGGGCACATACCTGGGTTGCAGGCTCAATCCCCAGGCCTGATCAGGGCATATGTGGGAGGCAACCAATTGATGTGTCTCCCTCACATCGATGTTTCTCTCTGTCTCTCCCCCTCCTTCCACTCTCTCTTAAAAAATCAATGGAAAAATATCCTCTGGTGAGGATTAACACACACACAAAAACTAACCTAGACTTGACCAGTAACAATGGTGGACTCTAACCTCCCATACCACAATACAACCACGCTAGGGTGGTCATCCTGAGACGCATTATGAGAGGCAGCTACAGAGTGGAAGCAATTATAAGGCACCTGCCCACTCAGAAGCGGCAAGCATCACCCCTCAGCTCCTTTACACAGAAACCCCGGAGGAGACCAGCAAGGTAAAGCAGATGCCGGGGTCACCCAGCACATTGAGAGTGCAACTGGGCGCACACAGTTCCCAGGAGAACACCTGGGAGATGCAAATTCTAACCCAAAGATTCCGACGGCCCCGTCCACCAGCTGGTCCTGACCCCTTTCGTCCTCAGACACACTCGTGCAACTGGGCGCACACAGTTCCCAGGAGAACACCTGAGAGATGCAAATGCCATCCATTCATTCTAACCCAATGATTCCGACGGCCCCGTCCACCAGCTGGTCCTGACACCTTTCGTCCTCAGACACATTGATTCAGCGGGACCTTTCAGGCCCCAGGGGCCGTCTAAGCAGCAGAAGGTCCAGAGTCAACCCACATGTCTCCACTGCAATCCTCTGAAGACCCGGTGCTGCAGGTAGAAAACAAGTGACTCAGAGCTGGCGTCTCTCCGGAGGAAGCGTGCATGGCTGACCCACTGCTGCAGCTGCTTCAAGAATTGTTTCCTGCAGCTGTTCGGTGGTCAGAACGCTCCTGAGCTGACTTCCTGCCGCCCCTGCGCAGAGGAGCGCACGCATCCAGTCCCACCCCCGCTCCGTTCTGCCCACTGGGCCAGCGCCAGGGCTCCCGGGGCCCTACAGATGTGCACAGCCGTCCAAAAGATAACCGGGAGAATAAACACGGAAACCACCACCCTCCTTTTCCACAGGAGCCCGTTGATAGGAAATACACACGCACAACAGCTGAAGGACTGAAGGCCGAGGGTTTGCATCACCGCTGCGGGGACAGACAAGTCATGGGCTACTGTAATGCCACCTAATGGAGTTAACCAAGCCACCGTGGACTTCCCAGCCATCACCTTCACCACTGATGGCAGCAGATTAGACTCCGTGAGCTCCGTATGTGTGCGCCCTGGATAAACTACACTGAAAGGACTAGGACAGGGCTGAGGGTCTCTGAGCACAACTGAGATGGGAGAAGGACGCATGTACTAAGCAGCATGTATTTGCCGTAACCTCGGAAACACAGAAACCTATTCCTAGAACGTTTCCTAGTACAAAACAACAAATATTTCAATTTTTAAAAGAAATAATCTCTCTCTCACACACACACACCAAAAAAAAAAGGTTTGAAGTGTTCCAGAGAGACCAAGTCTCCACCTGATAATCAGCAATGCCAAAAACACGCACAACAGCTGAAGGACTGAAGGCCGAGGGTTTGCATCACCGCTGCGGGGACAGACAAGTCATGGGCTACTGTAATGCCACCTAATGGAGTTAACCAAGCCCCCGTGGACTTCCCAGCCATCACCTTCACCACTGATGGCAGCAGATTAGACTCCGTGAGCTCCGTATGTGTGCGCCCTGGATAAACTACACTGAAAGGACTAGGACAGGGCTGAGGGTCTCTGAACACAGCTGAGATGGAAGAAGGACGCATGTACTAATAAACAGCATGTATGTGCCATAACCTCGGAAGCACAGAAACCTATTCCTAGAAAGTTTCCTAGTACAAAACAACGAATATTTCAATTTTTAAAAGAAATAATCTCTCTCTCACACACACACACCAAAAAAAAAAGGTTTGAAGTGTTCCAGAGAGACCAAGTCTCCACCTGATAATCAGCAAGTGCCAAAAACACCAAAAATGAAATACAGGGAAAATGAAGAATGGACAAATATAGTGAAAACCTTCAAAAAAAATGAAACACGAAATACTGACTGGGTTGCAAAATAGATCTACAGAAAGTGAGTGTAAATGCCATTAGATTTTTCTTATATTGGGGGGGGGGGGGGGGGGGGGGGGGAGGGACGAGCTAAGTTGCACCTGCTCCGTTATTTCCTCGTTTTCTCTCCTTACCTTTCACAGGTCATATCCAGCCCTAATGAGAGCTCACCCTGGGTCCCTCTTGCTGCTGCTCTGGGAAAGGTCTGCATAGTTTGCAACCACATTGCTTCAGTCTCATAAGCAGGACTTGTCAGTGCCTTTAGTGTGCCAGACCCCTCCCACAGAGGGAGGACATGGCCTGCAGTGTTAACCCAACTCATGTGAACAAGGGTGTTTTTTCCGAAGCTACCCATTCACATTTCTCAAGACAATGAGGCTCCTTGGGCAATGCCCTTCTAGAAGTTTTCAACTGTATTAAGGTTCGAAAACAGTGAAGGGTTTTGTGAACTGGCTCAAAAACTACTAGAAAGCAGACCCAACATGCACTTGAATAATCACTAGAGTGTGAAGAATGACCCCTGCATGGCCCGGGCACCAGGGCTCTGTAAGACGCGGTGAGAATGGGAAAATCTGCCTGGTGTTAACTGCCCGGGTGAAATACACCAGCAAAGACGGTGAAAGAGTTGGAGAGGCTCCTCAAAAAGTCGCTCTGTGCAAAAACAAAGGAGGATCCTGCTAATGATGCCACAGTGGCGCTAGCCAACCAGACCCCCACATTGGGGAAGGCCAGAGGCTGTTGCCCCTTCTCCTCCGGAACAGACACAAAGGAGGCCCTGGACCAAGCTTTCTTTGTCCGGAGGGAATCACTGGAGAGCTTAGTTATGTAAATACAGGCAAGCCCCCCGGCTGTCAGACGGGGAGGCGTGAAGGCGGCCTTTGTGGGCAGACAGAGGTGGTCTCCTGGGGACCCTGGTGGGCTGGGCCGGCTGCAGGCTGGCAGTTGGCTGATGAGCAGGGAAGTCCGGGCCTTCTGGGAGGAAGGAGACCAGAGGTCCCCAATGCTGCTCGGACAGTGGGAGTCGGTACCTCCATAGAGGTAGAATGAGGAGACCCCCGCCCTAGCCGGTTTGACTCAGTGGATAGAGCATCGGCCTGTGGACTAAAGGGTCCTGGGTTTGATTCCAGTCAAGGGCACATGTCCGGGTTGCAGGCTCGATCCCCAGCAGGGGGTGTGCAGGAGGCAGCCGGTTAATAATAAGGAGACCCTGACCCAAGTGTGCTGGCAGGAAAGCACCCAGGAGCCCCTGAAAAGAACTCGCCACAGAGCTGGGGGATGTGGCCCGGCGGGTCACCATGGAGGTTAAATAAAGTGCTGCGGGCGCAGAAGGCAGTGGGGCGGGGGGTGTCAGAGCCGTCCAAGGAACCTCGCAGGACCCATCTTCAAGGGCACGGGCTGGCAGACCTGGGCTGAAGAGGGAGTGCCACGTGGTGCTTGGAAGTGAGGCTCATTAGGGCCCCGTGGGCCACAAACACCCCGGAGACTCTTGAATAATTCAGGATGGAAAATACTTCGAGGAAGAAACATCAAACTTCTAATAAGAGTGGGAGTTCAAACAGATAATTATAAAAAGAGAGATTTACATGTCAAACGCTTCATCCTGGGCAGGAAAAATAGACGGGAAATGTGTTAGTGGCTGATCCACGGCAGGCACTAGCCAATAAGGATCTTTCTAGCCAGGCCCAGGGAGGCCCCCGAGGCCCCCTGCACCCACCGCAAGCCAAGCCGAGGAGCCTTGGGTGGGGGCAGTTTTCCTGTGACCGGAGGCCAGGCAGAGTCCCAGGGGGGCACACAGGGAGTGGGACACCAGCACAGGTTGCCCCTGTCCTGCCGGGATGCATGTGGGGCTTTGGGGGGTGGAAGGGGGGCCTCAGAGCTCACAGGAGGACTAGAGGCGGGGGATGGAGACTCACGCCATTGCCTGTCTCTTTTATGGCTTCTTACACGTAAGAAGTTTAACTTTATGCCCAAAGACTACAAAATAAGTGACCATCACTTTTGAAAGGGTGATTCCAGTCACCTGGTACACACAAGTGTTTGGGCCACACACGAGAACCATAACGTTTAAACATTCCCTGTAACAAATGTCCTTGGAAATAGCTATTAGTGAAGGAGTTATTTAACCATCTCAAACATTTCAGTGATTGGTGTCCTCCCCAAGTCACCTCCCCAAGTCAAAATAGAGAGGGGCAACAGAACATCCCCAACTTCCAAAATGAGGAGTCTTTGGGGTAGAGAGAGGACTGGAGGGAAACGATACTGGTCCTCAGACATGTAGGCCACTTAAGTCACATGTCCAAGATAAGAAACAAGTATTTGCTTAAAGGTTCGCCAATTAAAAAAAAAAATACATGAAAAAATAAAATGCAACATTACCTTTCCAAAGTCCCGGACATCGAACAGGTCAAAGGCCTCAAAGAGCTCGCTCTTCCTCATTCCGAACGTCTCGCAACAGGCTGTGAGGAAGGTCCGTATGTTCTTCAAACAGAGAAACTGAGGGACAGAAATAGCTATTATTATGTGGCGCATGCCCACGCTGCCTGTCCTCGGTCGCACCCGGAACGCCGTAAAAAGCGACCAGGAAGAAGCCCTGTCTCTGAGGCTGCTGTTCAATGGCCCTGCAGCAGGATTTACCAAGCAGCCACCCGTCCTGGACACAGGGCACATGCTGTGACAAAGGCAGACGAGATGTCTGTCCTTGTGAAACTCATGTTCTACGAAGACAGACAAGAACAAACCCGGCAACAAAAATGTTATTTTTATTTTCACGTGGTGATAAGCGCAGTAGAAAAAAAAAAAAAGCCGGGCCCAGCCCACGTAGCTCAGTGGTTGAGTGTCAACCTATGAACCAGGAGGTCATGGTTCAATTCCAGGTCAAGGGCACACGCCTACCAGGATTGTGGCTTGATCCCCAGCAGGGGGCGTGCAAGAGAGAACTGATTGATGATTCTCTCTCATCACTGATGTTTCTATCTCTCCCTCTCCCTTCCTCTCTGAAATCAATGAAAATATATTTTATAAAAATAATAAAAATACAGCCAGGAGGAGGATTTGGGAGGGCTGATCAGGGTGGTGGGGGCGAGCTTCAATGGGATGGTTGGAGAAGGAAGGTGTCAGAGAGAAGAGGACAGGTAAGCAGGGACCTGAGGTGGTGAGGCGCAGGCCACAAAGAATCCAGGACAGAGCCTCCAGCCTAACGCAGCCTCTACCCAGGGCCCCGCGGCAGCAGTAACTGAGGATGTCTGAGGAAGGGGCGACATGGCCGGGCAGCTGCGTGACCAGCAGGGGGGAAGGTGAGCAGAGGGAAATGGGATCGAGAATGAAGGACCCTGTTGGACAGATCTGTACTCCGACTGAGACAGGAGGCCTGGGAGCAGAGGAGGGACGCGATCTGATATTTTTAAAGGGTCTTTCAGGCTGTTTTGCATGTAGAGTAGAAGGGGCTTGAGCAAGGATGGAGACGGGCAAACCTGACAGGAGGCTATTGCAATGATCCGGTGAGAGAGGCCCCGGGGAGACAGGTGTTACATCTGGCTGCGTTCGAGTTGAGATGCCCGTTCGTCATCCCATAGGAAGTGGGCAGCAGGCAACTGGATAGACGGGTCTGGAGTCTGGGGTACAGGTGTGCACTCCACACAGAGTATACACAACCATGGTTTTCACCATGATGCTGTCTGACATAACCAGGGAGAAGGCAGAGGAGAGGAGAGGAGAGGAGAGGGCCTGGGGCCAGGGAAGCTTAGGAGGCCAGGAGACGAGGAGGAACCCACCAGGGTGAGCAGAGCGACCAGGGAGAGAGGAGAACAGCCCGGGGAACAGCTCTGCCCTGAAGCAAGGAAAGAGTGTGTTGCCAGGAAGGAGGAGTGGTGAGCTGGGTCAGCAGCCGCTGACGGTCAGGTAAGATTCCGGCCCAGCGCTGTGCACGGAACCGGCAGTGTGAAGGCCCCGGGGCCACCGAGACAAAAGCAGGGGCCACGTGGGGATTGGGATGAACGGCGGATGGCGGCAGGTTCAAGAGACAATGGGAAGAGAAAAGGTGAAGATAGAATACAGACTCTCGCATTTTGCTGCAAAAGGAAACAGAGGACTGAGGAGGTAGTCAGAGAGAGAGTGAGAGAGAGAGAGAGAAGAGGACTTTTCAAACACAATGGAGCTGCTCCAACATGACCCTATTTTGATGGGAATAACGTGCTAGAGAGGGGAAAGCTAGTCGTGCACGAGAGAGGGACAGTCACCCCAATGAAGTCCTTGAACGGCCAAGTGGAAAAGCGGAGCCTGGACAAGAGCCCACGCGGCTCATCCACAGCCCTGGGGCGCCGAGGGCAGGCAGATGCCAGGGACGCTGCCAACACCAACAGAACTCAGTGTCATTGTCAAAAACACCGACCCACCTAAGCAAGTGCACACACCCCTCAGTGAACGCATCCTGTGTGGAAATATCCCCTGCCATGAGGCACGTGACATAAAATTATCCACCTCCAGAACGTAAGAGGCCCCTGAGCTAAGGACTGCGGCCGCCGTTCCTTTCCTTTCAGCGCCGTGGATGTTTCATTTGGTTGTTTTGTGTCTCATCTTGGTTTGTCCTTGAATTCTCAAGAGGCACGTTTTACTTCCTCTCCACTTGAAACATCCAGATTTTTCCAGGGGCTTAACTCAGACACGGACCGTTACCCTTTAACGGGAACCCCCCTCAGATGCTGAGGCCGCAGGGGCTAGAGCCACAGGGAAGCACCAGCCCTTTGAAGCCCGGAAGGCAGCAGCCGTGGCAGACGCAGGGACTGCGTTCACTCTGAACATCCTGGGGAGACCGTAGGGACCCGGCGTGGCTCTGCACGCAGCCCTTCCGCACAGAAGCGCTTCTTTACAGATTAAAAGCCTTGCATGCAGCCAAGACGGACAATAATGACTCTCCTGCGGCTTCTGCAACTGCTCTTTGGACATAATTAAGTGCCCGACTCATCGCTCACCCAGGAGCCAAACATAATTGCACCCGCCCCCTCCCGAGGAGCCCTCGCCCAAGCCAGAGGCCCCCTATGTGGGAAAGGCGACCGGGACTTCCATGCAGTGCTCTGGCCCTGAATTCAGAAAGCAAGTATTACCGCTGAAAGTAAAATACTGTATATACTGTGAAATGTGGCCATTATTGCAGGCATAGAAGTGGATTGTAAAACAGGCCTTCCCTTCTGTCTAGAACCAGTCTTCGCCTGACTCACCCCTTCACTAGTTCGATTCCACTGCATCCCACAAATATTTGCTGGGTTTGACAAAGGTCACTGTACACTCCCGCTGTTCCAGGCGTTCCTCAAATTTGATGACCCCTTAATCGACGTACTTTGTCAGTCTTATTATTGAAATCTGTTCGTCCACCCCTTGTATTTCCTGTGAACCAAAAGCTAAGTCTAGACACAAGTTAAACACTTTTTGGCAAAAATACTCTCATATTGTGAACTTTCTCTTTCATTACATCAGAGCACACGGAACGTTATGCTATCCCGTTATTACTGATGCTAAGCTTGATCACTTCGTTCAGATGAATACTGCCACATCTCTCTGTTGTAAAGGTACATGTCCCCCTTTATATCAGTAAAAAGAAAAAAGAAAAAAAAAAACCAAAACAAAAAAAACCTGGGGTGAGAATTTGGAATCATGTGGCTGTCCTATTTCCCAATTATTTTTCATCATGGATTTATAGCATTCGTTGATAATTGTTGCCTCCATTATTCCATTTTGGGACTGCAAAATAGTGCTTTTTCTAATTCTTTCATTCCGTCTCCGCCTTTCTACTCCTCCATGCACTTTTTTTTTTCTTGTGTAACAATCAATTGCCGTCATTCTGTTTGATGTTCAGACTGTCCCAAATCTGACACCGGGGGTGCCTTCAAACCACGCCCAGTGTCCTTTGGACAGGACTCTCCTTCCTGCAACCATGTTGTCCCAGGCCCACCGCCCAGTTCCTCTGCTCTGGTTCTGGAATCAGCCATTTCTCCAAGCAGGCCTGTCTCCATTTACCTGCAAATGGTATGTAGAAACCCAAGTCTGAGCACCAGGCTGCTCCCAGATCACATGGGCCAATTACACGGGCCAGTTCTGTCAGAAGAACCAGCGCCTCCGCCCTTGGCTTCAGCATCTGTCACTTGCAACAGAAAGAGGCGGTGCAGGTAAGGTCGGCCTCACTGCTCTCTAACGTCCTCAGGGAACAGAGGTTCCGACGTCACGGCGGGGACTTGGTGGCCTCCGTGCACTGACCGACGTGTCACTTCCACACACTATGTATGTTGTTGTGTGATTCGGCTCCCAGGGAACCAGCCCACACGTCCTAGACTCGCCCAGTCGTGCTGTCTGAGCGTCCCGGCCCTGTGTGCTTTAGGTGAACACGGTTTACGTAAAGCATCAGCTCCACACCGGAGACTCGGGAATAACTGTGTCACCCACTTGCACACAAACCGAACAACTGGCTATAAAATGCAGGATGCTGGACTCAGCAAGGATGGCTGGGCTGCAAACAGAAGTCAGACCAGCAGGGGAAATGCAGCTATAAACACGGGTGCTGTGACAAGGGAGGGAGGGTTTACACGGCCGGGCACCCAGCTGTGCCATCTGACAACCGACCTGGGTCACTACCCAGACCAGGAGGCAAGTCATCTCCAGTCTCTCTCCCACGATCGAGATGTAAGATCACGGTGTGGTTCCCAAACCGCGCACCAACGTGCCCTGGAACACCAGAGCAAACACCCAGGGACACTGCAGGGGATTTCAGATTTTCAAGAAAATCACAGAAATACTCCACACCCATCAGACGCGACACAAACCACTGGTTCAGATCAGTGCGAAGTTCCAACAGTAGGTCGCACGGTGCTCCTGCCACGGCCTGCCTCTGTGAAGCTGGGTGCACGGCAGCTGCTGTGATTAGAAAGCAGTACAGAGCCCATCAATGCAGGACCAGAAGTGGGGGGTGCCGGTGTGTGAGTGATGAGGGAAGTTGTGCCATGCCCAACAGGTAAGTAGCTATGGGTATTTAAGAAGGAAATTAAAAGTAAAATCTTTTTCCTTTCAATTTGTCTGTATTCTTTTAAAAACATATACTAGTATGTATATGTATATATATGTGTGTGTATATATATATACTGTATGTATGTATGTATAATACATATTTTTTTATTATTATTTCAGAGAGGAAGGGAGAGACAGAAACATCAATGATGAGAGAATCACTGATTGGTTGCCTCCTGCACGCCCCCTACTGGGGATCGAGCCCACAACCCAGGCCTATGACCTTGATCGGAATCAAACCTGGGGTTGGTCCTTCAGTCCACAGGCCAACGCTCTATCCACTGAGCCAACTGGCTAGGGCTATATTTTTTTCTTTCCCAAACAACCATGAAGTTGACTAGAACTAACATCTTAAAAACAAAAATGCTAGGGTTTTTAGATTCATAGGTACAGAGAACATTTTGATGGTTGCCAGATGAGAGGGATGTTTCAGGGGAAAAAGA